GAGGCTTGTTTCGGCTTCTTAAATGTATAAAACGGAAAAATAATCTAAAAATTTATAATTTTGAGCAATATACAGACAAAACTCTAATTTTATTTTTATAGATAGTATAATCATTATGCTGAAGTCGTGTGTGAATTATTTACAAAATAAACTACACATCTTTTTTTTCTTAAGTATTAACTGTCAAAAAGTAATAAACCCAAAACACGGTAAAGTCAAATACTTTCAGTGGAATAAATTATAGTCGGAGGCAATTCTTATTTCAATACCTTTAGTAATATTAACTAAAATCTATCATACTACAGTAGCTTACAGAAGTTATTGTCAAATTTAAAGATATACACAAAAATTTTGTTATGAGACAAGATGTTTATTATTGCCTCTCACTGGAGGCTTGAGTCACAATAAAACACTGTTGACCTTGGAATCGTTGAAGCCCCTCCCCCTCCCAATATTTTTTAAGATAAATACAAAATGACTTATACTCTTATATGACTCTTATATACTCTTATATGAGCAATGTTTGCTTGTATGTATGTATGCTTGCACAAAGATCTCATAAAACGGCTTAGACGATTTCCTTAAATTGTTATAAATAATAATTTATATCTGGCCGAAAAAATATGTTTACTGCAGTTAAAACTGCCAACAAATATCTAATTACGTTAAAAAAATAAAATTGAAAGTCAAAATTTTTTAACATTGGTCTTATGGGTTGCAAAGTAGTTGGTTGAACAAAATAACAAGGAAAAAGTAAACAAAAGATTTGTCACATGTAGGAATGTGGGATGCAGAATTGTTTTTTCTCGATTTGATGCATCGATAGGATTCAAAGAACTTTGATTCAAATCGATTGCATTTGATTCAATGCAGAACGGCATGATTTACATTCAAAATTATTTATAACATGTGTTTCTGTAATGGATCGTTTACCTTACCCTTTTCCAGATACCAATTAGGTATTAATATAATAGATTTTGGGGTTATTTCACAATTTAATTTGTTATCTGGATCACGGGTTTTAATAAAATCCAAAGCCATATATTATTTCAACATATTTGCCAAGTTTTATGAAAATCATCCATAAACAAGCTCAAACTACAACATTTTCCATAAGAATAACATGGGAATTTTAAATTTACAATTTTTTGAGTTTTCTCCATAACCAATAACTGTACAAAAACACAATACTGAATTATTTGTTTTTTTTTTAATCCTCTTTAAGAAGGTCTAGAGATAAATTGCATCATTTTATGTTTTGAGGGTCAAAAATTAGAAAAACCAACTTTTACCCCAAAAAACGGGGTTGCGGATTTTTATCCCCTGGAATTTTACCTACTGGGCAAACGTGACGTCACAAACCAGGGGGTAAAATTCTGGCCGTGAACTTTAATAGTAAACATTTTATTATTAAGTAGCCTATCTTAATTTATTTGTAACATTAACTAATACAACAGGTTTTTAATTTTAATTTTGAGATTCGAGTATCAGGATTCGATCTTTGAAGCCAACTGTTGGTTAATATGATCAAAATAAAACAGCGAATTGTGGTTACTAAGATGAGATTACAAAATAAATAAATAAAGATAGGCTACTAAATAAATTTATCCCGCCTTACACCTTCAAACCAAATTTAATCAAAATCGGATAAAAATTACTCAAGTTATCAAGTTCACGGACACATATATATATATATATATAATATATATATATATATAATATATATATACAGGCTGTATATGAAGTCCTGCACGGGCTTAATATTTTCCAAACGACAACAGATAAATCAATAAGATTTGGTACATAAACACCACACCTAAAAATCTACTTTTTCAAGGAATTATCAATTTTCTGTCATATCATGGGGACGTCCCGCAAGGAGTCAGAAGGAAATCTTAAATAGAAGCATAGGTTGGCATGTAAATCAAATTAAAGGTCTTTAATAGCAGAATATAATGCCACAAATTTGAACTCAAACGGACAACCGAGCCAATAATCACAGTTGTTCAAAGATTAATTTAATTTTCATTGCTATTATACGCTTACTCCTCAGGGGGCACAGCCCTAGGAATCGGAAGAAAATTGTTAACGTAAGCATAGGTCGATATGCACATCAAATTAAAGGTCTTCGCTAGTAGATTACAATGCCGTAAATTCAAGCTCAAAAGAACTCCTGAGTAAAAAATGGCAGTCGTTCAAAGATTCAAAATGGCGGATTCAAGAAATCTTTGAACGGCCGCCATTTTGCGCAGGATCAACCTTTTGAAGTGCGGTTTGCGGCATTGTATTCTACTAAAAAAGACCTTTCATTTGACGTGCATTTTTATTGACCTATGCTCCTATTTAAGATTTCCTTCTGACTCCTTGCAGGACGTCCCCATGATTATGTTAGAAAATTCATAGTTCCTTGAAAAAGTAGATTTTTAGGTGTGGTGTTGATGTACCAAATCTTATTGATTTATCTGTTGTCGTTAAGAAAATATTAAGCCCGTGCGGGACTTTATATACACCCTGTATATACATATATACAAATTTGAACGAATGGTGTTTTTGTCCTCTGGGGACATCAAAATGAAAAAGTAAATCAGTCCCGGGCCTTAGTCTTACCGTGCCACCTACCGTAATAGCTATTTCTCTACAGGGAAGAGATTTTTTTACGAAACTTAGCAAAATTGTTTACACTATAGTAAGTAACATTTATAAAAAAAATTATTATTTTAACTTTCCAAATTTCAAAATGGCGGCCGTTTGAATTTTGTAATGCCAAATTTCATGAAAACCGGTACCTAAATCAAAATTTTGCTAGACACAAAAGTTTTAGTATTTATTATGACAAATCCAACAAAACAAAAATGAATAAAATCGGTTCATAAATAAAGAAGCTGTGTTTATTTTAGTAATTTAGACTGAACTTATTAATATTAAAATGTATTAAATGTAATGTAATAATTTATCTAACGTATTAAGTAATTTGCATGTATAGCCCATCACGCTTTTTTGTGACACCCTGTATATAATATATATGTGTCCGTTAGTACGATAACTCGAACAAAAATGATAAAATTTGGTATAAACGTGTAAATCTACATTTATTCTAAAGAGTTCACAAACCAGCATGATGGGACCATGGGAACGGGGGTATATGGGGAGTTTTATAGGGGGGAAAATGGGTTTTTCCCATTTTTGACCCTAAAAACATAACATTTTGGAATATTTTTCCCAACCATTTTGTAGAGCTTAAAAAAATAAATAATTTATTATATTGAAGCATTGTTGTATGCCTAATGTTTACAGAGAAAATTTAAAAAAGTATAAATTTAAAATTCCCAAGTTATTCTTATGGAGAAAATTAAAACTGTTGTAGTTTACTTGTTTATGGATATATGTTCACTAGTTAGCCGCCCGTGCTCCGCCACGGGAATATTGTCAAATCAAATAAAATCAATTCAAAATCATGTTTATTTCAGTACCGGTAAGTAAATACATTGTTACAATACTTTGCCAGTAAAAGTTTCATAGTTATGCAATGATATAAATAAATAAAATAATATACTAACATTACAGTTTCTTGAGCAACTTCCCTGTGTGCCTACTGGAAAAAATAGTTAGGGTATAGTTCACTGATAAATTGTAGTTCTACATATCCAGAATACTCGCCATCTCGAGAAGGTAAAGATTGGTACTACTGAACGTCAAACACTGATCTTAAGTAAGATTCATCATCACCTACGATAAAATGTTTGTATGTTTCCCACTCATTAGCAATTATCTGCACAACTTGCAAGTGGATTTCCCCATGATTGTTCTGGTGGGATAAATGATTTAGATCGGAACAAACAGTTTCCGTCCCCTACTTTAGGTATTATTTCACGTTCCATCCATACCCTAACTCAAACTCAATTACCACTTTCCTTTGGATCATTTTACATTAAAAGTAACACATATTTTGAAAATACAAATTTATATTGTAGTTACACGTATTTGTAATCGCCATCTCCAGAAGGTAAAGTTTGGTAGGCCTACTGCTTAACGCCAAACACTTACCTGAAGTAATATTGACCACCTATGATAAAATGTTTGTATGTTTCCCACACATTAGCAATTTTCCACACAACCTGCAAGCGGATTTCACTATGATTGTTCTGGTGGCCGTAGGGAATAAATTATATTGATCGGAATAAACAGCTTTTGTCCCCTACTTTGGCTATTATTTCATGTTCCATACTCTAACCTAAAATCAATTAGCACTTTCCTTCAAATCAGTTTGCAGGAAAACTAATACAGTATACGAAAATACAAAATTTACACAAAAACATAGGCTACAAATATTGTTTAAATAACACATTTTGGTATAATAAGTTAACAAATACACTTTTCCTTGATCTAAATCGTGTCTGTTTTTAACAGGAACTTCTAGATTAATAATTACATACCGAAAGTGAGGTTATAAAAATAATAACAAATGTCTGACAAACATTAAACAGCTGACAAATCATTTATAAACTGTGTTTTATAATCTTCAATAAGAATTGTATTGACTCGACCTTTGAAGGGCTGTAGTGCTTAGCCCTTAGAAAAAACGTAATTTCTAAGGAAGTTCGGCAAATCTACGCATTACATCCTTTAATTTGAGGCATACATCTTGTAGATCGGTCCAGTAATAACTGAGAAAACAGTGTTACAACTGTGTATTAAATATATAGAAGATACAATTTGGCAAATGCATTCATTTCATACTATACTATTGACGTTTGGTCACAAAACACTTTTTACCTTCCCCGTGGCAGCAAAACTAAGCACTCGTTAAATCTAATGCTATTTAAATTGGGAATAATTATGTCTTATTTATGGTAATATTTGAGTAAAAATGTAATCAGACAAGTGGAAATTCCCTTAGTCTGCAGGTTTGCTGTGGTGGGGGTATTTATTTATTTTTGATGCATCACACACCCCTACTTCTATCCCACATACAGTTTAATCATTAGTGTTGATTTTTTCAGCACAAGCAATGGCTGGCAACCAAGGAGTGCTTGGCCCTACCAAGATCTACCTAGCTGTTCAGCCCCCCCAGCCTGCCACCACAGCCACCCCTACGCCAGCTCCTGCCACTCCTGCTACCCCTCAGACTAAGGTGGTGGTACAACCAGTGACAGACAATACCCCTGTACGTACCAGATACAACCACAACCTTCACGCATGCTATGCTCCTGTCAAGTGTCGTTTGTACTTTGATGATACTTACTATCCAGACGATTACCTGTAATCAGTAACTAAAAATCTGTTATCGTTCACCTCCGATATCCACCTAACAATTTGAATGGTGATTCCATTTTAATTCAATTTAGTTTTTTTAAGGATTTTTTTCTGTTGTACTTTATTTTTAAGAAAAAAATATTATGAAAGATCCACGTACATTAAACGCATACACACAACTCCATACCCAACAAATTTCATAGTATGAAAATGGTTTTAACAATATATTTGTTAAAATATAGTACAATTTTTGTTCATTCTGAGTGGATTTCATTTCATGTCATTTTTTCTATATATTTTTATGCTTTGATACAAGTGTTTTTCTAGCTCTTAATATAATATGAATAAATAATTAGGATACTACTGAAATGTTAAAAACTGTAATTTTTATCTGAGCCATCTAGGACCATTCACATCTTAAGGGGGAAAAAATGTGTATTCACATATTTTTAGTAATTTGTTTAGCACAGCATTTATTTAGTCAGCATCTTGCTTATTATGTTAATATGTTTAAATTTGTCTTTTGTTTAAGAAGGTAGTGGATGCAGCAAGCCTTTGTTAAAAAATTAGTTTATCTTCACTGCTCTAAAACTATCATAATAAAAGTACAGTTTTTATATTTATCAAAACTTTAAAAACAAAATATAAATTGTGTACTTTTTTCTTTAAATAGTAGGCCTATTATTTGTTCCATTTAATGTAAAATGTAAACAAAATAAACTTTAACTGTGTTATTTTTGTATATTTTTTATTTTTGTTTGAGTATAGTATTTCAAGTAGTTAATATTGGGAAAAGCCTAAATCATGAAGTAACTTCAGGTTTTAAAAATTAAATGGATATACTGTTAAAAGATAAGCATTTTGTTGATAAAATGTCTGGTTATTGTTTTGTTCTGCGTCCACTACTTTCTTTTTTTATATGTTACTATTATTTTCTATTAAAGTAAATAAACAATCCTGAAGATATGCTATGGTGAAGGCTTTGTCTCAAATAATTTTAATGACTTAAACAGCATTCATGAACTAAATGTCAATGAAGTAAAAATAGAAAAAATACAACAACTATTTTAAAACATAATTTACTCTTTAATTCCAATACTGGCCTTTATATTCTTTTTACTTTTCTCACTTCAGGGTCTATTTTAAAGTATATCTTTCATAAGTCACTTGAATTTAAAAAGGACTATTTACAATATTAAAATGATTCAATCTATTTTAAATACATTTACAAAAAATAACAAACTAAAATGGAAATGATTAACACCATAATTAATGATTATGGAAATGATGTAGTCTAACTCCAAAACACTGTCATAATTATTTTTTCAAAGTGAGAGAATATGTGATGCTGAATATTGTTAAAAAGATGCTTGAAATTGTTTTTGCTTTTATATCATTTTAATGTTTGACAATGACCAAAGGGTATTCATACTTGATTTAGGTCCTTAGTTACTTTAAGTGATAAGATAAAACACCATGTCCTGTCAGATGGGAGTTGCATCTTTTGCAAGGGTGAATTTGGTAGCTTCTCAAATAAGTACATATTTTGCTTTATTAATTTTAATTTGTAATAGTCATCTATCCTTAAAAAATCTAAAATCATGTAGGTTTTATTCTTATTTTATGTCAATTAAGTTTTTAAGGTGAAAAGAAACACTCATGTATAAGATTTATCCTATAACGAATATTAAATGCAGTTGATTATTTGATTTCATTACAATAACATCATAACATCGTCCACAGATGGACGAGATAGGATTTTTAGTTTGAGATGAGACGGGATTTTTTATTCCTCAAAAAAATTATGAGACGATCGAGACAAGATTTCCCTTTTCATAAATAACGGGAAATGCCGGTTCGACATTTTTATCTGATTTTGTAACATTGTTAAATACCTACTGATTTATGGCAGATGACTTTTTAAATACAAAAATAATTATAACAGTCAAGAATATTTGAAATATTTCACTAAAAAACATGAGTATAAAAAAACAAATCTATATAATTAATACGCTACATGAAACTTTGTCGGTTGAACTCCTCCGCCATTTCTTAACCGATTTTATCCATTGACGTCTCATTGGAAAGAGCGTGTCACGTAGATTTGCAAACTGGCCTTACATTTTTGAAAACGTCCCTTGGGCTCTGCCCCAGTGGCTTTGAAAGTTTCCGTGTTATCCTTATGAAGAACATAATTGTTTACATTTTGATCAGCTGTATAATTTAATTTCTGTTATTTATTTTTCAATTCAATGAAACGCATTGAGTACATTTATTTACTATTTGAGTTTGTGTAAACATAACCCCCAAGACGGATCGTGTTAGTATGGTTGTATCTTAAATTTATGTATATATCGTTGTTTTGTGTCGCTATGACGGATCGTGTTAGCATGATTGTAACTTAAATTTGTGCGTTTATCGTTGTTTTGTATAGCTATAATTTGTTTATTTGTTGTTTTTTCTTTAAATGCCTCCGACGCGACGACAACGAAACATAGACAGGAGGCGTAATCGTGATAACGACCGCAGCTACAGAAGTGGCGCGTAATAGGCTTAACTCATCACAGTCAGCACCTGACCCTGGACAATCTCAACTATTAGGTTACAAATGCGCCCTAACACTACCTTAAAACGACTTTTCATTCTCAATTGGTCCTCTATTAATGACCTGCGTGTAGGCTTATTAATAACGAAAATAAACATGGTCTGAGTTACACACCGGTAATTTTGAGTTGACTCTTTTAAACTAATTGTAAATATGACTGTTATTCGTTTTGAAATAACTCCTGTAATACTTTCCAATTGCTCGAATTCAATCATTGCGATGTCAAAACAAAAAAATTACAAAACAAAGCAATATTTACTTTACATGTAAATAGACGTAATTAAATAGGAATACCTTCGCAAAGGAAACACAACATCACGCTCTTGTATTGCAGGTATTGCATTAACTTTTTCAGGTGTTTTTAACTGTTTCTTTTTTTTATAATCTCGTCTTGTAAAAGTCTTGATCAAAATAAAATCTCGTCTCGTAGAACAAGATTTAAAATTTCCCGAAAATTACTCGAAACCGAGTCCCGTCCATTCCTAATAATGTATCTTCATAGTCAAGAAATGTCCACCATTGCTCTCAGCCCAATCATTGTCTGTTATATTGTGTGGTGTGTTTTTGTTTGTTTGTTTGTTTATTCAACTTTTATTTGAACTAAGTCTATTAAAATGTTTGTACACTTATAATTATATGTAATTGGATTGTAAAAAAAAATACAATCAATATATTTTTAAACAATTTTAGCTTTGGTTAAGTGTACAGAATGAAAATTTAATATGGAAACATTTTCTATTATATCTACCTTGCTATTAAGGTAATCTGGTAGACTTAATATTGGAAGGAGGGAAAGCCACTAGTATTGAACTACATTGATGTTACTCTAGGCAAGCGTGGGGGAGAGTGTGGTGTCGCCTCAGCAGAACATGCTGATGAATGGCCAGCAGCAACTGATGAGTCCCCCTATAGGGTCAGCAGCCACTGCCTCTGCTACTAGTGCCTCACCCTTGCAGGCTGCAGCTTCTCCCAACAAGTTTGTAGTCACCCCTGACTACATACAGCAGTGTGAGTACCACAATATAGTATAACCTAGGAGATGTCAATAAATAAATGCTTTCGGAAAACTGAGTTAACTGTAGTACAGTAGACTCCCTCTTAACCGGACTCCTCGGGACTAAGGCCAGTCCGGATAACGGTTTTTCCGGTTAAACCTAACGTCCCCTAAAACTCGTTAAAACGGACCGTTTAAGTGCATACTGTATACAGTATTTGACTTAAATTTAAGAGAGCATTGTATTTAGATACATGATCAATGGTCTCTAATCTTTCCCACGAGAACAGTTGTTTTAGTACCGCCAACTTCCTGCCGATCTAGTTCGGTTTAACCTATGTGCTGATAAAAATTTTCCAGTTAAAGAGATGTCATTTCCACTGAGCGTAGTCCGGTTAAACCGAAAAGGTGTCCGGATAAGAGGGATCTACTGTACGGCCAAATGGCATGTTTCTGTAAAATGGGAACTGCTACTGATTCAAACCGACAAAACTGTATAGTACATATAAGAAACAATATTTTTAGTGCAGACAAACCATGTGAGGTTTTTGCATTTTCCTAACCTATGTATTGGTAACTGGGTAACCCAGCTATTTATACCTCTTCCACTATCTATTCCTGTTCCAAATAGTTTTAAAATAATTTATTATACCTTCCTTTGAATAAAAATGTTTATGTTTCTCGATTTTAATACTCTGTAGAAAAGAAAAGTGTGTTTGAAAAGTTCCAAAATGGGTATATTTAGTGAAAACCCCTGTCCCCTAGGTTAGAAGTTGGATACATAAGCTTATATTTTCAGTAATATTAAAAGGCAATAAATTTTAATTATTTGGTTTGAATTAATTTATAATGTTAAAATATTGACAAAAATTACCAAACAGGCTTTTTAATGAAATTATACTGGCAATAACAATTCTCGTCAGGTCTTTCAACCCTATCGACTCCGGGCGAATCAATATTTCTGCCTCTCAGTTCGTTGTTGACTGTGGGTGAAGTAGGTTAGGCGTGATGTTATGCCAGGCTTTCCACATGTCGCCTTGGCTGAGGTTTACCGCCTCGGAGATCTTGAGCATCTGGTTCATCACCAGATGTTGCCGTGGTCCAGATCAATCCTCCTGGACCTGTCACTGCCCCTTCCACCGCAGTGAGACGTGGTGGCCTTCCATGGACTTTAGTCGCCACCCCTGAAATCGTCTTCATGTTCAGCACACGACATCCAGCCAGGCGCTTGGGTTCGACACATCAAGTATGGGCTAACTCCACCGTTGTAGCCTGTGGCTCACAGTCGCCCAATGGCGGAACTGTACTGTAGAGTGTAGACACTAGACAGACGACACGACGATTTACGTGATGACAATACGATTCCCAATCGACGCTCGACTGTGGATTGAAATAATGTTTTAGCTTTGACTTAAAGTTTAGTTAATTTTGGAAAATACATAATTTTAGTTGTAATTATTGGTTTTTTACTGGTTTACAGTTAATCATAAGTAACTATTGGCAAATATAACGCGAAAAACGTAACATTAAAACTGCTTCAATAGGCCTTAGAAAATTATTTTCTACCACGAATTTTGTTTCAAAGTACCGGTACTACATTTATGTTCATTTTTGAAAATACATAAGTTTTAATTGTAATAACTATTGGTTTTTTAGGTACCGGTTTAAGGTTAATCATAAGTAACTATCATCAAATATAACGCAAAAATCGTAACGTTTGGCAGTTTGAAACTGCTTCAGGAGTACAAGTTTATTCTGCAAGTTTTTAAACTCATTAATGTTAATTTTTAACCTTAATTTGCAGTGTTTTTCGAGTGAATATTAAGAGTTAATTTTCCTTAAGGGCTAATAAACGTATGTGGGTTTTTAATTATTTACCAATATCCGTTATTTTAATTTGTTTTTACATTTTTTATTGGGCTTTTCTTATACCTAGCCTATATTAGTCGCCGGGAATTTCGTACTTTTTAGCTGGGAAAACCAGAAAAAATGTGTGAATTTTGTTTATGGATTCTCCTGACAACCCCGAAAAGGATCTCATAGTTCACCAAGGACCTGGGATTTGACGGAGAACGATGACCTGTGAATGAGGGTGCACAATAAGCTGTTCCAGCTGTGATGCAATCCCTGGATCACTTAACAAAAAACATGTGCCCTTAAAAGAGGGTTTTCAACAAAACAATTTTTTGGGGAAGTTTCACATTTCATTTCATTTCATATAACGTTATTCATTAAAGTACAATACATAGATACAGGAATGGCGTCAAGAGTAATTTAACAAATCTAACTTAACTAAAACTAGGTGTTAGCCCGTCCTACGTACGGGAGTAGTAATTTAAAACGGTGTAGGCCTATAATTCAGAACAGCTAGTTTACACGTATAAAGACAAATTTTATTGCAGCCTACAGTAGAAAGAGTAATTATCAATTGAGAAATGTATGGGCCTAGTCAATGATATCACCTTCCATCGCACACCTACCTCTTCCATAATCAATATCACCACAATACAATTACTCATACTATACACAATTTCCAGTAGGTCTGAATTGAAATTCCCTAAAATGAAACGAAAACATCCATTAAAAATTAACAGTACCCATAATTATAACGTTGGTGTCCTGACATCATTAAACGAATCGTCCACACACATCTTTTATGTCAATTTTACGGCATCAATTGCTAAATAAATAAGTGTAAACAAAGAAAAGTAAACACAACAACATATTAGTTTGTTTTGTAAACAGCTGAGTCAAAAATAATATTCATTTGAACAAAAGAACTGGTCACATGTTGAAGGAATTTCAAAAAAGTAAAAACGCTAGTAAAGCTAGTGACGTAATTAATTGTCTATGTTTTTATCCATTTCGTTATCAGTTCCAATATCCTTGATAATTAAACCAACCTCATTGAATCAATGTACATCGTAATTCCCCATGTTCATTTATTTAAGCTATAAAATATTCAGCGCCTCCAAACGTAACCACAACTAAACACACGCCAAACAACTTTTTTAGATTTCATAAAAGGATAGCTCAAATGAAGTAAAAAGAGCAGTGCAATATAAAAGTTCAAACATGAAAATATTAAAATTAAAATAATAGATAAAATTATTTTAAAACCAAAAGTTTCAACTTATGAAATAAAGCAATATAACTTATGGAACTAAAACTCTTCAAAGGAGTACATAGCCTTGTTGATAAGAATTTTTTTTCAATTTTGATTTAAATTTATTTTTGGAGGTTTCTAATTTGATTTCTTTAGGAAGTTTATTATAACATTTCAAACCGGCATATTTAGGTGTCTTTGTGAAAAGTTGCAGAGTATGAGAGCTAGTGGCCAGATTTTATCGATTTCTAGTAAAGTAATTGTGGTAGTCTCCAATAAGTTGCAATTCATCAAATCTGTCTTTTACTGATAACACTGTTTCATAGACATACATTCCATAAACAGTCATAATATTTTCAGTTTTAAAATGTTCTTTGACTGAAGTTTTACGTTTTAAATTGCATAAAATTCTAATAGCTTTTTTGTTTTTTTAGAATTTATTTTAATTTTTTCTTCTTTGCTGCACCATAAAGTGAAACTCCAAATGATATGATTGAATGTATGTATGAAAAATATATAATTTGTAATGTTTCCTTTTCACATAGGGGTTTTAATCTTGTTACGCATATAGGCCAGATGAAATTTTAGAAAGTAACTTGTCAATATGATGGTTCCACTTCAAATTTTCATCAATTTCTAATCCTAAGAATTGGTCTTTATTTTGAATTGTGTTGTTATTAACTAAAATTTTTGGCAGATTTGGCAGTTTAGTTTTTCCTGCTTGAAAACACATAAAACTAGTTTTATCTGTGTTCAAACGCAAATTATTTGAGTAAAAAAAAAAACTGTTAAGTAATAATATATCAGAATTGGCCTTGGCTTCAAGTTCTGCATACGTTTTTGCGGCTATTTTTAAATTTGCATCATCAGCATACAGGGTGATTGAAATAAGTGTGCCAGCCGTTTTATTCGAAAACCATAAGAGATATCAAAAAAAGTTAAATGGTAAGTGCCTTGGACTTTTTATTTTAAAAATTGTAGTAAAGTCGAAAAAATTATTTTAGCCGCCATTTTTCCAATATGGCCGCCAACTTTGATTTTTCTTATGGAACACCCTGTATTTTATGATGTATTCTGGTAGAAAATGTAATTTTAAGACGATTTTATTCTTGTGATTTTTTCATAAACCTAACCGTTTCAAAGATAATAATGGTTTAAGTTGTGAAATTTTGAATGGTTTTCGAATAAAACAGCTGGCATGCTTGCTTAGGCCTCTATCGAAACTCTTTCTCATGCAAAAATTTCAAAACTTTAACCATTATTATCTTTGAAACGGTTAGGTTTATGAAAAAAATCACAAGAATAAAATCGTCTTAAAATCACATTTTCTACCAGACATCATAAAATACAGGATGTTCCATAAGAAAAATCAAAGTTGGCGGCCATAATGGAAAAATGGCGGCTAAAATAATTTTTTTGACTTGACTACAATTTTTTAAATAAAAAATCCAAGGCACTTACCATTTAACTTTTTTTGATATCTCTTATAGTTTGCGAATAAAACGGCTGGCACACTTATATCAATCACCCTGTATAGGCAAAGCTTGCTCAAAACACTTAGTTGGGGAAAATTTTTTAAGTAAAAGATGAATAAAAGAGGGCCTAGGATCGATCCTTGGGGCACCCCATATTTAACTTCCCAAGTACAAGAATTGTAAGAAATTTTATAATTTTTATCATTACAGTGACTCAGTTCCACATATTGTTTTCTATAAAAAAGATATGACTTGAACCAGTTCAATGCAGTACTATTTAGTCCACTACTACTGAGCTTTAAAAGTAACAACTCATGAGAAATGGAGTCAAAAGCTTTACTGAGGTCTATGAACAACCCAACCACTTTAGATTTTCTTTCTAAGCTATCAACGATGGATTCAATGAAAGCTGTGGCAGCTGTTATGACAGATCTGCCACTTCGGAATCCATGTTGGCAGTCATCAAATGTACCATTATTTTCAAAGAAGCATACAAGTTGGTTATAAACAACCTTTTCATAGATTTTTGAAATCAAGACCTTTCATCCAAGTATGCGGTTGATGGGTGTGCGGCTAACGGTTTTCTCAAATTTTCGTGATCCTTGTTAGTTTAATATACTGGGTGGTAAAAATGTACTGGGACGGTTAAATATTTCTTCAAAATTTGGAACACAGTAACTGGGCATTAAAATCATTTTTACACATTATACAATGATGCGCTACCTCCTCAGGGCCTCACGCAGTCGGCCCGCTAGGAGTCAGAAGAAAATCTTAAATGTAAGCATCTTTGCTAGTGAAATACAATGCCAAAAACCTGAACTCAAATGGAAAACTGAGTAAAAAATGGCAGCCATTCAAAGATTTCTTCAATCTGCCATTTTGAATCTTTGAACGGATGTTATATTTTATTCAGTTTCTGTTTAGAGCTCAAATTTGCGGCATTATATTCTACTAATAAACCCCTTTAATTCAATGTGCTTCTTATTGACCTATGCATATGTTTATTATTTCCCTCAGACTTCTAGTGGGCTCTCCTGAAGAGGTAGCTTATAAAAGCAGTGCATATGTGATTACTGTAACTTTGACTCTGTTGTCCGTTTGAGTTTGGGTTTGCGGCATTGTATTTTACCAACATAGACTTTTAATTTGATGTGCATAGTAGGCCTAACCTATGCTTACATTTAAGATTTTCTTCTGACTCCTAGCGGGGTAACACATCACTGAATACTGTGAAAAAATAATTTAATACCCAGTAAAAGTGTAGGCCTACCAAGTTTTGAAGATGTTATTTCTTTTTGAAATATTTTACCGTCCTGGACTTACCACTTACCACCCTGTATGGATAAACATTTGGTGGTTTTAAGAGTAGCAAAAAAAATCTCTGGACTAGGATTTTAAATGTAGGATAAAGAAGATAGCAGCTAGATTACCTTGAAGAAATACAGATGTAGGCAATAGAACATACAGCTACAGCAGACATACATAGAGAAAGTTAGAAAGTAGAGAAAGTTATAAGAGAGGATATTATTTTTGAGGGTAAATAAACTAGTCTGTTAAGCTGTGTTTACACCAAAGTCTTCCATTAAGTTTTCCACTAGTTGCGGCAATAAGTTGCTTTGCTACAAAATTTTCTGTCTCCCACTAAAGTTCTTTCACTAAATTTTGGTTTCTCGCAGAGTTTCGGTAAAGATCAAAGAAATTTGATAACTAAAAGTGGAATATTAGTTGCTACGTGCTTTACACAAGAAACTTGTAGAAAACTAGTGGAGAACTGTTCCCCATCCTTGGATATGGTGTCGGGCAGTAGCATCTCCCCGGCCCTAAAAAAAATCTTCCACTAGTTGCTCAAAATTTTTAAGAGCAACTTTTAGTTGTAAATTAACAGTTGTAAACTTATAGTTGTCAATTTTGGTGTAAACGCGCCTTTACAGTACTAGATAAGAGTAGATGTATTGCTGGCCTGCGCAGTTAGCATAAATATGTTATGCTCAAAGTAAATTTATAACTACCCATAAATACTATTATGAAACTTGTGAGTATCATCTTCGTTTTCATATCTTTTTCAGCCATCAAAAATGCTTTAAAGCAAGAAAACCTGAATCCGGAGATAGAAGAAAAGTTACTTCAGTTGCAGAGGTACCAACAAGAGAAACAAGTTAAAAAAGAGGGCTCAACTCCTGTCGCCCCTACACCAGCTCCTACAGTCACTCCTGCGCCCCGACCCACCCCGTCTAGAAAACGTCCCTCAGCCGCCTCACATCATGAGCCTGCTGATGGAGAAGTGCCCAAGAAGAAAGTCCAGAGAGTTGATCATCACAAGGAACCTAAGTAAGTGGCAGTCAAACGTCCATAAAAAGCTAATTTAATCGTAAGTAAATTTGGCATTTGCTCAATTGACCCATCAGATAAATATTATTCAATAGTGTAGTAACAAGCTTGAGAAATTAAGCATTAAGTCGGAAAATCGAGCTCGAGTCGAGCTTTTACCATCGCGATTGTAAAACGCAACTGCAAAGTTTGAGCCCATGATTGCGGAAGACTTTGATGACGTTTCCGTACCCGCAGGACACGACGATAATGTCTACAAACTGCTGGAGGATTCAGTTATTACCAAGATTGGGGATGACGATAACAACGTGTCTGTGACCTCAGAAGACGACAATGATGACCACACGAACACGGGAGTTATTCAGGATTTTGCCGTGATTGAGGATGACGATAATAACCTTAGGTGAGATTTTCAGGATTATGTCGCTGATGATAAAGTTTCCGTAAATGATGGAGATATTCAGGATTTCGCCGCTATTCTGAGAGACCGCTATGCAAATTAATTTATCTATTCCTCCTGAAATAAATAATGTTCTCTCATTTTGACCATAAAATATTTACCTGCTAACGCTATAGTAAGTTCACTTCAAATACCAAAAAAATCAATAAGTGTTTTATTTATGGTTGGAATAGTTAGCCTATTTATTATTTTAATATTAACTAGTATTTTTCGTCTATGACTGAGCCTTGCAAAAAAAGCATTTTTAAGGAAATAAAATTAGATGAAATTTATTTTTAACTTAGTAGTGTGGGATGGTTTGTAAGTATTATTCAGACTCTGGCTCGATTGGAGTGTTAAAATTGTTTTGTTGATTTTCCATACTTAACAATACGTTTGTTAGTAAAAATCACCCTGTTGCCATTTTTTATCACCTCTTTTTACTTTCAAAATCTAATAGGGGGTATAACCTTAACCTTGCTTCATAAAACCGCTACTTTCCTTAACATTGCTACCTTCCGTAGCAAAATTTGGTAATTTATTGCATAGAAAACACCATAAAACTATTATTTTCTGAAAGAGGAGATTCTAACCTTCATATTTATATAAAAATACCCCCACCACAGCAAACCTGCCGACTAAGTGAATTTCCATTTGTCTGAATTAATTTTTTATTAAATCTATTAAAAAACATTATATTTAATGAGTACGGTACCTAGGTTTGCTACAAGGAAACTAATAAAGTGTATTTTTTTGTAAAATATTAATAGCTTAGTTTAAAATGAATAAAGTTGCCAAGTTTGCTCAAAATTTATCCATAAACAAGCAAACTACGACATTTTACAATATTCTCCATAAGAATAACATGGGAATTTTAAGATTAAAATTTTTTGAACTTTCTCCGTTACCAATAACCGTACAAAAAAAACGTTGATATACTAAATAATTTGTTTTTTAAGCTCCTTAAAAATATCTAGAGAGAAATTGGAAAATTTTGTGTTTTGAGGGTCAAAAATTAGAAAAACTATTTTTTACCCCATAAAACCCCTTGTAAAACCCTGTTCCCATGGTCCGATCTGCTGGTTTGCAAACTCGTTCAAATTTACCCTGCCTTACACCTTAAAACCAAATTTGATCAAAATCGGACAAAAATTACTCAAGTTATCACCGTGCCACCTACGGTAATAGCTACTTAATTCCCTATAGGGAAATTCGCTAACATGATCATGTGCCTTTTATTTGGCCGTGACGACTATTGCAAAAATTAATAATGATTATATGTGCCTTTTATTTGGCCACGACGATTATTGCAAAAAGTAGTTATGATTATCTGTGCCTTTTATTTGGCTACGACGACTATTGCAAAAAGTAGTAATGATTATCTGTGCCTTTTATTTCGCTACGACGATTATTGTCAATAAAGATAATTTGATTTGATTTGATTTGATCCAGCCCAAGAAGATCCAGAATTTTTTTTATCCGATCGGGTGCCGGTTCTAGCTCGGATCCGGTAGTCCGATATCCAGATCCGACCATCACTAGTAATTATGTTAATTCATCATAGAAAGAAGCTTGGCTCGATTGAAAATCTCAGGCTTGCATATCTCTACCATATCTATCCTATAAGAGTTTAAAATCTAACCATGCTAATCCCAGGAATGGTTTTTCTTGTTATATAATCCCATAATTTAATTCATTAAACATCCCCCCCCACCCTTGCACATTTTAAGATGTGGCTTGTAACATAGCTCCAAGATTTAAAAACGCTTGTAATTTTCTTTTCTAACATGTTTTGTTTGATTATCATTGTTGCTGTTGTAATGTTTTATTGGATCATTTATATCCCTAAATGATACTTATTTTTAGGGGTGAGAAAAGTGGAGGGGGAGGAAAAGGCAGATCCACCAAGTTGCAAGAAGAGAAAAAACGTCAGCAGATTCAAACAAAGTTACAGGTCCTTCTATTTAGGCATAAAGAACTGTTGAAGAAGGATATATTGAAAAAACGAGCCCTATTAGAAAAAGATCTACAAATTCAAATACAGGTGAGGATTACAACATTAATATAACTAATCATAAGTAACTGGGCAGACAATTTTTTCACAATCAAAACTAAATTATAAAGATTAAATCCATTTCAGGTTAGATTGTGTATTTTCGGTGGAGCAGGTAGGGCCTCCATATCATCTTAATCCATTAAAAGGAAGCAATTATTTTGGTCTCTGCAGGACTGGTGGCAGCAATTAATTTATACTATAATGCAGTGTTTTGGTTACAACTCTATAATTCCATTAACTTTTAATATAAACTGATGAAACTTTTACCATTTTGTTGAGAAATTGTTGCTCTATGTCATACCAACATTTTCAACTAGTATTACAACAACAACAAATGTACTAATAAATAAAAAGTTTATTAAAAATCAATTTTCAAAAGTAATTATATTTGTATGTACATTTTATTATTTTACAAAGAGTATCAATGCTGATATCTAATGGTTTATACTTAACTTTACATAGAAAAAAAATATTAGTACCATATATTTGATAATAACAGAAATATAATAAAGAAATTACAAAAGTACTCACCCTATATTTTTTTGAAAATCAGACAAACGACGAAAATTGTTAAAATTTCCTCAGCAACAAAGCAAAAGCATACAAATTTTTGTTAAAAGTTTGCTTCACTTAACTAATATGTACACTATTTACATGTTCATTCTTCCTTTTTAGTATTTTTAAGTCGAGTGTGGAAGGCCTCGAAACAATTTTCAAGGTGTAGAGGGACATCGTATTGCTCGCACAGCCATCTGGTCTCAGCCTTTTTCTTGTGTGTGGTGCATACTTTGCAGCCTCTTGCAGGGAACTTTTTGCAAGCAGTAGGCGGAATCTGCTTGGGGAAATGTGCCCATTGCTTGGATTGAAGCCGAAGAGGAGAAGTCGCGAGTGGAGCTCGACCTGGTGTAGCGTGTGCAGGAAGAGTAACAGCTCCAAAATTTGCTTGACTAAATCCTATATATTAAAAAAATTTGGTTTTTCATTTTCAAGTTTGGTTGACTTTTCTATCTGACCGATTTTTATGATTGAGGTCTCAAATTGAAGGTATGCACGCACAGATTTGCCATCAAGCATTGGCATATATTTATCTATAATCCCACTCGGCTTATACGTAAACGAAATTCGCTCCCCATGTATTTCTTATGGGAGTTAAATTTGGTTTCTCTTTTCCGAGTTCGTTTGGCTCTTCTACCCGACCGATTTTCATGATTGAGGTCTCAAATTGAAGGTATGCACACACAGATTAAACATAAAGCTTTGGCATATATTTACCTACTGTATTAATCGACCAAAAAACATAATTTGATTCATTTTAGAATTCTTACTTTAATTTAAGGTGTATTTCATCAGCTATAATTATATAATCCTATATATTTTGGTTTAAGAACCTTCAGTGAAATACCGGCTTTCATTTACGCTATAAGTTAGTCAAATCAGACGAGTTTCAAGCAAACACAAGGTGAACGACCAACATAAAAAATATTTTTCATAAGGGTTTTCTATGATTAAAAATCAATAGCTCCAGTATTGTTCATGTATTTTATATGTTTTAGACTCAAAATAATCAGTAAATTATAGGCTTTAATTTGAGCTATTGATCTTTTGAATCAGTTAAGCTCAAGATACTGTATTACTCAATCAAAAATCATAAATTTGATTATTTCTCGTATATTATATTTATTTTAACAGCATGGGCAGCATGGGTCCTCCAGTTCACTCTGAAGCCTTTAAAGCGCATCTTCTTAATTTTTTTCACTTTCTTGAAGACAACTAAAGCATTATATATTGTCATGTCAATTAAGTAAAAGAAAATCTTCTTGTAGGCTTTGACAGACCTTCGCATGATCGGGAAAAATGACAAAACTTGGTCCTGTCGATCCACTCCTAACATTCCCTTGTTGTATTCTATGACACATTGTGGTTTCCTTACTTCCACTTGTTGCTCACCTATTCTTACTACTTTTGAGACTTTCATCTCAATATCCTTATGCATTGTAGATAGCACGTGCACATTCTTTCGGTCTATCCATTTAATGGCAAGGACACCGCGGCCAGAACGTTCTATAGCCTCCCCTACTTCCAACTGTGTCTCTTTGAAGATGCAAAGCATACACTTTCTATCAATAATGGCTGTGCTTACTGCGTGAAGATCTTTGTTAACTAGCTTTGTGTACAGAAGAGGTGAAGAGTACCAATTATCCAAGTACACGGTATTGCCAACTCCAAAAAAGGTTCCATAAGGTCCAAAACTACTGATTCGCTTCGCTTGCCAAAAGATCATTCTTTTTGTCGTCACTGACATATATTTTGAAGACAAAACAATAACCTGATGATGATTCGCAGACTGTATATACTTTGACCCCAAACCTAGCCCTTTTCATTTGGTTGAACTGTATTATACTTAGCCTAGCTCTTAATTTTAGAAGACTTTCATCAAGCGCAAAGTTTTGTGCTGGTTCGACAGTATGTACGAACTTTGTTTCCAGATATCTTATGATAGGCCTAATCTTTACTAGTTTGTCGGACCCATCAGTAGCTTCAAATTCTTCATCATGGAAGTGTTAGAATCTAGATTTTGATGTAAATCTTTCAAAGGATATATAGTAGTCTCTGTATTAATCTTTGTCTCTATAATTTTTCGATGAGTCCAGTATTTCTTTAGGTCTGTTTTTATCACTTGGCCCGTGTTTATATATAAAGTAAAGTACGCTTTCAACTCATCAACTGTTACTTCATTCCATTTGTCATCAGATATAAGTATTTTACTTCTAGGGTCATTTAATGTTTTTCTTACGTAGTCATTGGTTTCAGTGCATATTGTCTCCCAAAACTCATTGCCCAAAAATTCAAGAAAACAATCTAACTCACTAGGATTATTTTATAGTCTACGTGTTTGTGTATGTAACAAGATCTTTAATTGAAGTCTGTAAAATAGCAAATGTTTACAGCAAGAACTAACCCTGGAGTTGGCTGTCAGAGCCAAAGCTGACCGAGGGCGTCAGGAACTCTCCGACTCTCCTACCAAGGCAGAGAACCGCACCACAGGCAGCGCACGACGAAAGTCACAACCTGTCAACCCTCCAAAGAGTCGTGGGAAGACTACCAAGACCTCTGCCTCCACTCCAACGCCCCCCAGTAGCAAAGGCAACAAGAAGGAGAAACTCTTGTGTCTCTGCAGGACACCCTACGACGACACCAAGTGAGTACTGTCGATTAGCATTTCTCTCAGAATCTCAAAACTCTCCAATTTGACTCTCGAAACCATAGCCTTCCCAAAATTTTGATAGTTTTGAGATTTGGTGTTGACACATCTCACTTTTACAATTTAAATTACCTGTTGATATTGAGCTATGCCAAAGAGAAGAAAAAAGCTATTCACCTTCTCTGTGTGGCTATTCAAAACTTCCAAAAGATTTGATTATTTGATGGATATCAATGCATTATTGCTTCCAAGATCTTACTTAGCAGTTGCTTTTGTGATCACCTTTAGTGCAGCTTTAATCTTGAATATAAACAGTGTGTCCACCGACCGGGAAAACAGGGAGTTATACAATTTGTTTGAAGCAGGGAAAAACCAGGAACTCTGCGTGAATTTTGCATTTCTATCAGGGATTTTCAATTTACCGTGATCGCGCATGACAACGATAGCGTTTTCATTTGTTAACAGGAGATGATGATGATGTCTACACGGCCGCGAGAAGGAACAGAATAATGCCGCAGTCATGGAAGACGACTATAAAATGTGCACACGATCGCAGGAAATTATCAGAATTTTGCCGTGATCGCGGTAGACCATAATGATGTCCATACAGGATATGCTCATGATTTTGCCACGATCGGGGAAGACGATAGTGACATTTCTGTTACCATGGGGAATATTCAGAATTCTGCCGTTGCTGCGGGAGACGATAATGATGATTAGAATTTCGCTGCGATCGCGGAAGACGAGGATAATCTCTCTACGACAGCAGTAGATGATCATGATATTATCTCGAGTTTGGATTGATCGAAAATTTCAGGATGGCGCACCACTAGTTTGAAGTACATAAAGACAGAGGTTGGTGTGGTAATATATAAAGAAAATTTGGTATAATTAAAAAAATGGTATCAATATCGAGGATTGATACCTAAGATATTTAAAACTGAAACATTCAATATAATAATATCACTTTATTGTCATAAAACATTTCACATTTCCAGCAAAGCTGGTGTAAACAGATTACATTGAAATTTCTTAGATAACAAAAATAAAAATTAAAACTAAGAATTAAAATTAAACTAGTCACTTTTTAAAAACACAGTAATTTAAATACTCTTCTATTGCATAATATTTCTTTTTTATAAGGAAGGTTTTAAATTCTTTCTTAAACTTTACAATATTATTGATATTTTTAAAATGAGCAGGTAGACCGTTTTAAAGCCTCAGACTCAGCCTATAGTACGGCGATCTTTCGTAAAGGCATAGCCGATGTCTTGGATACTGCAAATTATTTTTTGAACGTGTTGGCTATTGATGATTAAATTGATTGTTTATAAATAATTGTGCATTACTCTTGAAGTATACCAGAATTTTATAAATGTAATAAGTGAAGGAATTGTAAAAATTCCATATGTTTCAAAAAGCGGTTTACATGACTTTTTTGTGTGTAAATGATAAGATTCTTAAAAACTTCTTTTGTATCTTAAAAATAGTTGAGGCATATGATCTTGAGCCCCATAACTCGATACCATATTGCATAATTGCATAATTAACTTATACTGATTAAATATGAGGATAGAACCAGACCTACAAACTAAACTCTTTATTGACTAAGTTCAACTATTTTATTTCCAAACTCGTAATAACTCGTTTCAGTGAGGTAAGGAACAAATGCATTAATAGTGTATCCCCGGGTGTTAATATGACCAATGCTGACTTTAAATTACTGTATTTGCTTTGATATAAATAACTTATATGGCTAGGCTACGAAACGTCACAGTATACTGTATATTTGGACGTCAATAACCTGTATAGTTAGGCAATGTCACAGTACTGTATATTACAATGTAAATAACTTTTATGGTTAGGCAATGTCACAGTATATTGTATATTACAACGTCAATAACCTGTATGGTGAGGCAATGTCACACTACTGTATATTACGACTTCTATAACATGTATGGGTAGGCAATGTCACAGTATATTGTATATTACAACGTCAATAACCTGTATGGTGAGGCAATGTCACACTACTGTATATTACGACTTCTATAACATGTATGGGTAGGCAATGTCACAGTATATTGTATATTACAACGTCAATAACCTGTATGGTGAGGCAATGTCACACTACTGTATATTACGACTTCTATAACATGTATGGGTAGGCAATGTCACAGTATATTGTATATTACAACGTCAATAACCTGTATGGTGAGGCAATGTCACACTACTGTATATTACGACTTCTATAACATGTATGGGTAGGCAATGTCACAGTATATTGTATATTACAACGTCAATAACCTGTATGGTGAGGCAATGTCACACTACTGTATATTACGACTTCTATAACATGTATGGGTAGGCAATGTCTCAGTATATGCCTTACTAAACAAATAATTAAAATAAGTACCTAAATTTTAAAAACGTTATATTTCTTTTTTTGCCCCCTAATTGCCCCCTTTCTTGCATGAATCAAATCATTATTTTGATTGCCATAGAATCAAATCCGAATATTGATTCATTTTCGATGCTTCGCACACCCCTATTGACACATCACTATTTTTTAAGAGTTATTCATAAATTGCAGGTTTGATAGTTAGCTTTTTAATTTTTTAACTATTTAAGTAGATTAGTTTTTAAAAATTCCATATTTGTTTTAGGCAATATTAAAAATTTTTTTCCTTTACACATTTTTAGAGTACGCATTTTTCAAAAAATAAAATTTTAGCAAAAAGTGTAACCGCTAAAACAGCATAAAAGTTGGCCAGCAGTTGGTATGAAAACGCGTTGGAAAGTTTGGTATAAAAAGTACAGCCTGAACTACCCGGAATTACTCATAATTTTTTTCTGGTTTGCCTGGTGAACATCCTGATAAAGAGGTGTTTGTATCGAGAATAATTTTTTGTTGTATTGGTATCAGTACCTAAAAATGGATAACTGTTGAATTTTGTGTGTAGGTTCTACGTGGGTTGTGACCTTTGTAACAATTGGTTCCACGGTGACTGTGTTGGTATTACCGAGGACATGAGCAAGACACTGACTGAGTTTGTTTGTACCGAGTGTAGACACGCTAGAGACACCCAGGAGCTGTACTGTCTGTGCAAACAACCCTACGACGAGTCCCAGTAAGTCTACCATTGTTATGTATACTTTCAAAATCTACTTTTATGTACAAAAATTAGAGATTTGCGAGTACTTGAGATTTCGAGTTCGAGTCGAGTACTGACTTGAAACTCGAGCTTATCTTTGAACTCGGCAGTTTCGAGTCGAGTTTTGTTTAAAATTGTAAAAAATCAATATTTGATAAAATGTAACTTGTGTTTGCATAAAATGCTTTATAATTTGTATTACTGTGGATTCTACAGTAAAACAAATATTTTTACAGTGTAGAAATAAGCAAGAGGTAGTTGTCCTAACCTATTTTTATAGCTGTCACAACAGAATAGGTCAACTCAAAGCAGTCGCCAGCGACTTATTGGCAATGGCATAATCTGGACTTGACATAGAATGACATGATCGGTAATGATTTTGTTTTAAAGTACTGTTTCACAATAGAAAATTCCACTACTGAACTGTTGAACTGTATGTAAGCAATAAATCAATGTTTAAAAAAGTCAGAATAGAAACACTAGAAAGGCAAAACAATAGAAAGGAGGGAGGGGTTGGGCAATGACCTCGAAATGAGCGGCATAGCAACAGTGAGTGCACTAGTGGGTTGGGGAAAGGGAGGGTGAGACCTTTGAGCTATATTTAGACTAGACTTCCACCACTTCCCAAATGGCTGGGTAGGGGCAGGGGGATTGCAATAGCAGGGTTTTTCCTTGCCTGGTTTGACTTTTGTCTTTTTGTGTAGGAGATTTGAATCATCAAAAATATTTGAATTGACCACAAATATTTAGCATTATAATACAATCTGCAAGGGACCAGGAAAAATATTATTCGAATTAGAGTTGATGCCATGATTTGCATTTTTATGTCAAATACAACATTGCACTATCATGATGTTTTGTGTCATTGACCTTAATAACGCATCTGTTATAAGTTGATAATTATAAATTGACTAGGTGAAACCCGTCAAAATCGACGGTTATTTTCTAGGCTTACGCTAATTCATCTAACTGCGATAAATTGAGTGAAATTATACATATTTTGAGCATTCAGCATTGCTTAAAGATTAATAAGTGTAAAAACAATAATGATATTAATTGCGTTAGTTACCAAATATGGTTGATCATTCAATGAATAAAATATTTCCCATACTATACGTCATCGGAGTTAGTATGCTATCTGATATCTCTTCCTTTGGAAGAACCTTTAAATAGTATTAAAATCCTATTGGTGGATCTTTGTACTTAAACACTTCCGTGATTTCATCAGTGTAATGCACATTAATCTATTTTATTTGAAAAAGAAATCTGTTTGGTGGGAAGACACGTTCTAACTTCAAAGAGAGGTATATCCGTTACAGTGTAAGTTTGATTTTTCCTTCGTCACGTCGCGTCAGTTCGTATCGTACTTCTAAGCCAATGAATAACCCTCTAGCACAGTTTTGAGAAATTGGTTGTGGGGTTACTGTTAAAGCTGGAATTCCTTGACTTGGGGGATGTCAGTTAGTTGTCTCAGCCTTATCAGTTACATAAAGTTGTCAATATAATCTCTCTACGGAATGTTAGGTGTAGTGGAATATACTTGAAGTGAAGTTAGCATTTATTCTTGAACTGTTAGGGGCCTCCTCATTTATATGATTGTGCAGCTTCATTGGCAAAAAATAATGTAAATTGGTTGTTACCTGTAATCGAAGTAACCTCTCTGAAAAATCTGCAGTATATTGCAGTTTTCCAGCTTAATGACTTTCTAAATCATGCAAATATTTCTACATAAATATTGTAAAATGTTTTATCCAGTTGCTGTAAGCCACTATTAATAAATAAAAAAAAATATGGACACGGCTCAAATTGGCACCGTGCCCTTCTGCACTTGTATTATTTTGAATTGTATTACACAATCGAAGATTTATCCAATAATTGAAAGCATGTACAGTATGACAATAATCTCATGAACCTATGATGATCCGTCTGAAAAAAATTATAAAATATAGGGAAAAGGTGTGAAAAAGGCAGACATCAACCCGTAAAATAGATATAAGATAGTTCAATCTATATATATAAAATCCAATGTATGTTTGTATATTTGTATGTTTGTCCTTTATGGACTCCAAAACCGCTCGACAGATTGTAATGAACTACTATTGTATGAGCCTATTACACTATTCAGTACAATATTCAATCTACAATTGTTTTGTTTAACAGTAATGTTGGCTACTTGTAGGCCTATTTATTTAAGTACTTTATTTTTAACATACATTTTGAGTATTTTGACAGAATGATTGTTTACAATCAACATACAAGATTAAAAAATTTAATTTTCTTTAATTTAAAAATTTATTTTCCTTTACCCACTGTCAAACCATTGGAAATTCCGTAGGCCTACTGTTACAAAAACCCACCGACTAAGAATAATGGTAATAAACTTACAAAACTAATTGTGAAAATGTAGGAAATAAAATAAATTTATTTATTTATAATCGTACTTCAGCTTGTAACAAGGTTGTTTTACAAGTTACATGCTCTAGGCCTAAGGAGTTACTTAAACTTACACATTCTTCAATCTTTTTTGTTTAAACTCGACTCGAATTCGAGAATAGAATCTTTTGCCAATTACTCAACTCGACCTGAAAAACCTGTGCTCGCACATCTCTAACAAAAATGTGTGAGGTGTAAATAAAAAAAAAAAAAATAAACTTTTAGCATTTAGAGGCGTGGTCATCTACATAAAAAGGAAGAAAAAGTACCATTCAAGCCATCTGAAATTCACGTTAACATTTACCATTTTCGATTTTAATATTTTTATTAATCTCAATCAGTTTTCCTGAAACAATGAATTATTCTTTGCTGAGTTCTGTAGCCCACTAATGTCAGGTGGGATGAAAACTGTGGTCAGAAATTAAAGTAATACTAGCTGATGTACCCGTGTTTCGTAACGGGAAGATGTACTATACCACCTAATTCAAACACTTGTTAAGTAGTTCAAGTATATAAACAAAAAGCAACTAAATTTATAAATAAACCTACCACATGGTCCTGTAAAATATTGTATTTTAATTGTTTGGATCAGCTGTCTGAAGTTGTGAAATAAGCATTTGGCCGTTCTGGTTGTTTACATTGAAATGTCAACGTAAAGGTAAACATTGTGAATTTTCTCATGCTTCCATGGAGACCAATTATTATTAATATTTACTTTTTGAATTTCTGACAACAGCTGGAGTTTCATAACCAGCAAGTCATACCGACGATCACGCCATGACCGCGGAGTCATACCGAGGATCATGCCGTGACCGCGGAGTAATACCGACGGTCGCACCGTGACCACAAGTCACAAGTTTCTATTAGAGGTCTGCGGGTCAGACTTTTTTGGTTCGGGTCGGGTCAGGCCGATAATTTTGGCCCTCGGGTTTCGGGCAAAAATCGGTTCGGGACGAAAATCCTCAACTACTGGATTTTTGTTGTTTTAACTCCTATCTGTGTTTATAACATTACTTGATGATAAAATATGAAAAATATTGTATTTATGTATATTATTTCATTTTTATAACTTATTTACAATTTGAGAATTGCCTCAACTGCAAGAAAGAAGAAAATAGTTTTTTTTATTATGACACTTGATTCTCATTTTGATAACTGTTTAAATAACTAAATAGGTACCGGTAGCTAAATTATAACAAATTTAAATGGAACTTAATATAAAAAGATCATAAACAAATCAGTTAACATATCACACGTTTAGGGCCTGTGGACTGGCTTCAAGACTGCAAGCAAGAAGAAAAATAAAAATAATATGTTTCCACCATGCAATATGTATCATTCATTCCCTGCCTCCTAACCTCCTAAGTATAAAAACCTCACACTTACAATAGCATTATTTGTTACATCATCATAAATCAAGAATTATATATTATTGACATTAGTAGGACTACAGCTTTACATAGGCATTATTTTCTATAGGGCCTAAAATAGTAATAGGCTAAGCAACATGACAAGTGGAGAACTCATTGAAGAAAAGATATTGTGTAAACTAATTTACTATAAAACTCAAAAACTGTAAATAACACAAACACACATTGTTTATGGTATAATTAGTAAGGACTGTAAAAAATTCATATCATGTCATACAGTTATAGACCTACTGTAAGAGATTAAAATCCTAAAACAACTGATTTTGATAGATAATAAATGAAAATTATTAAAAATCCATAAAATCAAGTCAAACAACATCACAATTAATTAGGTACCTACTCAAAAAGTAACTTAACTAATATATAGAGGATTAAGATTATATTAAATCAAGAAAAAAGAAAGTTAAATGCTAACTTGGCAACATAAGCAGAGCCACTAGTGCCCCTAGCAACACAGGTCAATGTTTTCAAACTGGAAGTCAATGTTTTTGAAACAGCAGGGTCTTTTTCTCGGAAGGAAGGGTAGTAAGTAATATGTAAACAAAAAACAATGAATCACTCTCACCAGCCAGGCCCGATGTGTGCACTCAAGGTCATCCCCTCCCCTCCCCTCTTACGCCACCCGGTTGCTTCAATTGCTGAAAAAATGCAAGTGACAAAACAAGGAAGTTGAGACAAAAAAATATATTTCTTTATTCAAAAACATAAAACTGTTACAGATCATTTTCAAAGAAATTAATTCATTGTAATTTGTGAGTTGTAAATATTGTATTGGATGTTAGAAATATCTTTTTTGAAACCCCATCTAACTTAAAAAAAAAAAAAATTTTACTGATGATAACATTCATAAAATTATAAAACATTTAGGCCTAACCACTTTGTTGAGTTACTTGCTGATGCCGAACCAGATGATCACTAGTGTTGTTACTGAATGACAAAAAGGACAATAAGAAAATAAAAGAACAAGATACAGATCTGTAGGCCTACACTAGATCAGATATTTCTTTTGTTATGTAAAATACTTAAATATATTTTTAACTAGGTATAGAATAAACAATAAATAACCTCTGGATAAATAGTATTTCTTTGGACTTTGTTTTCCTTGCACTGTTG